TCCAAAGCCCGACCCCGGGTATGAATCCTCCGCACAATGTTGCCAACAAGGGTGCAGAATGATTGTCACGAAAATATCACCCCGTTGTCTTACCTGCCTACTACACACCAAGCACATTATATGCATTATCTTCTTTAATTCAAATAATAACCCACGTGAAAAACCCAAGGCTCAGAGAAGGAAAGCCACTTGCCCAAGGTCACCCACAGCTCTGACTGCCAAGCCACGTTCCTCACCACCACTCCTCAGAGCTCCCCTTCTCCAGCCCTGCAATGTACACAAAGGTTTTTGTAAAAGGCTCATGTCCTGCCCAGTCGGTGTAGCTCAGTGAGCAAGTGAGTGCTGACCCAGGAGGTTAGGGTTCAATTCCTGGTCAGGCATATCCTAGGTTGCTGGCTCGGTCACCAGTAGGGGGCCTGCAGGAGGCAGCTAATCAATGATTCTCTCTCAGGTTTCTCTTCCTCTCTCCCTTCTTCTCTCAGAAATCAGAGGAGTGGTTAAGAGTGTGACTCAGGAGCTGGACTTGGAGCAAAGAGCTCGGTGACATTTGCTACAACAGGCAAAACTGACATGCTACAGAGGGAGCAACCACTCTCTGGGAGCACCGGGAACCTCAGGGGGCCTCCTGGAGCTGGGGTTAAAGGATGAGCAGGCCACTGACAGGTGAGAATGGGAAGTAATTCCAGGCAGGGCAATACTGGGCAAAAGCTTAGAGGTAGGATGACGTAGGGCAGGAACTGGTGAGTGGATCATGAGGCTGGAACAAGGGACACATATGCAGTAGCGGGGAGAGAGAAGAACTTGATGGGAAAGGAAGCTGGGAGTCTGGGTTAGGATGCCATTATGTAGGCGTCATGAGCACAGGTGTTGGAACAGGGAGTGACATGGTCAGCTGCATGTGTTAGGAAGGTCACTGGAGTGGCGGAGAGGGTGGAGGAGAGGGAGGGAGTTCCTGACTTATGGTCGGTTGCATGGAGCTGTGACCTGCCCTCTGGCCCCTCCCATCCATGGGAATGGTGAGCTTTAAGGACTGCCAGCCACGTCACAGGCCAGAACGAGCTGGGCACAAACACCGGGGGTCAGTGCAAGGCAAGTGGCCAGAGGGTGACCAGTCATATGCTCTCTCTTGGTTCTCGTCATCCTCTGGCTTCACCTTCTGTCTCCTTTGCTGGCTCTTCCTCCTCTTGCCAATACCGTAAATGCTAGAGTAGCAAGGGTTTCGTTCCCCGCCCTTCCCTCTTTCCATGCCACGTGCTCCCAAATGCTGTCCAGGTAGATGCCAATGACTCCCATGCCCATGTCTGCAGCTCAGATCTCTCTGCTGAGCCTCATATCCACAAAGTTAACTACCCGGCAGAGGCCTCCATGTGGAGTTCCCAAAGGGTCTTTGTGCCTGGACAGGTGAAGGTAGAAACAAAGGCGGGAGGAGAGTACACAGGTAGGTTGGGAGGAAGAAGAAACTTGAGAGCGGTTAAGAGTGTAACTCAGGAGCTGGGCTGTCTGAGTTTGAATGCTGGCTCCACAACTTATTGGCTATGGGATACTGGGCAAGTCCCTTGTTCTCAAAGACAGTGTCCTTTCTATCGACTGGCGCAAATCATACAGGTTAATACCACAGGCGCTAGAGCCACACTGCCTGCCTTCCAATCCTGGCTCCAACATTTCCTAGCTGTGTGACTTTGGGCAAGCTACTAAGCCTCTGTGACTTCAGTTTCTTCTCGGGTATGCTAATGGTACCTACTACTTGGGATTTTGTGAGAATTAAATGAGCTCATAAGCACACAGAATTGTCCCTTGGATAGTATGTGCTATCAGTGTTTGCTATTTTATTTACTATGAAAATGCATTCTTGTTCAATCCCAAGAACCCTCTGAATCATGTATTACTATGTCTGCTTTGAAGATGATTAGTGGGGGGTTAAGCCGTCGCCCTAGGCCACACAGCTAGCAAATGGCAAAGCAGAGCTGCAAAGCTTTGATCCTCCCACTACCTGAGTGTACCGTAGGATGAGGTGCTGGCCGGGCCGCAAGCCGAGCTGGCCGCTCCCGGGGAGTGCAAACCGCACACAGTAGGTGTCCTGAGTGAGCTTGTCCATGGCACTGATGCGGAAGGCCAGGAACGTCTCTGGGCTCAGTTTGGAGGGGAAGTTCTGCAACAGGAAAATATCCAGCGGCTAGAAAGCAGGACTCAAGAGACATGCACGCATCTTCCCCACTTTCCCCAGGGAGAGGCTATCTATCTTGGCGGACCGGAAGCCAGACAGATGCTGCCACCCGAGCCCTCTGGTCTGAGGAGTCCCTTACCAGTGATTCCTTCCCTCTTAGCAGGCTTCTGTCCTTGCTGGCTCGGGCTGCCTCCCACCTCGCCAGGTCTCGGTCATAGAGGTCGAACACACAGGGTGAGCAGCCACTGCCGCAGCACTGGGAGGGCAAGGGCTCCACAGGCCGAAGCTGCAGCCAGGCTTCCTCATCATCGTCCTCCTCCTTCTCATCCATCCTCAGAGGCTCAGGCAGCCTGGGGGGCGGGGGGCAGGTGAGGGGAGACAACAGGTGCTCTGTGAGAGTCACTGGCCCAGGCCCCGTTCCCTGGAAGGTCCGGAGAGGGAAAACATATTGTTACACTCTGGTCACCTCGACTCCTCCCATCCTCCTGAGGCTTGCAGATGCCTTGCGTGTGTGCGTGCGCTGTGTGAGCACCGAGGACAGGGATGAACCACCCTGGAGTCTGGTGCCTGGAGAGGGAGGCAGGCAAACAGAACAGAACCATCAAAGCTGGCATCAAGGTTTCCTGCCCTTTTCCTGTGCTCTGAGTGCTGGATTAAGCACTTTACATAGAAAATCTTGTTGAATTCTTAAAGTATTTTAAAATTCCACAGGCAAATTGAAGTAAAAGAGGACGTTCTCTCCCTCTTGCCTGAGAATAGAACTCAGGATAAATCTCATGTCACAGAACATTATTTGCTTAAATATCATTCCTCTAAAATGCAATGACCTCTGAGAGCCCCCACCTTTGATTTCCTCTCATTCATTCCTAGAAAGCGGGACTCAAGAGACATGCAAGCATCTTCCCCACTTTCCCCAGGGAGAGGCTATCTATCCTGGCGGACCCGAGGCCAGACAGATGCTGCCATCCGAGCCCTCTGGTCTAAACAGGGGCGCTGAATGAGGTGCTGGGATGCAGAGGTGAGTGAGCCTCGTCTGTGCTCTGGAGGAGCAACTGGCCTTGTGGGAGAGTCAGCCACTAAAGCAGCGATTCTCAACCTGTGGGTCGCAACCCCTTTGGGGGTCAAACGACCCTTTCTCAGGGGTCGCCTAAGACCATCAGAAAACACATACATAATTACATAATGTTTTTATGATTAATCACTATGCTTTAATTATGTTCAATTTGTAACAATGAAAATACATCCTGCATATCAGATATTTACATGACGATTCACAACAGTAGCATAATTACAGTTATGAAGTAGCAACGAAAATAATTTTATGGTTGGGGGTCACGACAACATGAGGAACTGTATTAAAGGGTCGCGGCATTAGGAAGGTTGAGAACCACTGCTCTAAAGGGAGACTAACCATATAGAACATATGCCACCAACTGAGCCAGAGTCCACGCCAAGCACTTTGCACTGCCCCACTCAATCCGGGTTCTTCCTCACCTCACAGAAAACTGAGCCCAGGTCAGGAAGCCAGAGTGGTAAGGTTAGCAGGTCTCTTATGTCTCCAGGCTAGTGCTCTTTCTCACTAGATTTCATGCTTTTGGAGGA